TTAAAGCTAAAGAAGCAGAAAAGTAGCTAAAAGCTAATAGGAGCAAACCCAAAAACTAAAAGCAGCAAAAGGCTAGGAATAGCTACATTTAGCAACAGACTCGCTCACAGTAAAGCTAGCTAAAAGATAAAAAAAGAAGAAAGACACTAGATAAAAGCAAAGTGAGTAAAAAGTAGTAAAAGTTTAGCTAAAAACATAAAGTTACTATAGATAAATGCATGAAAAGGCTTGAAAAAAGCTAAAAGTAGTAGCAGTAAAAATAGTAAAAAGCACAAATATAGCAAAGGCTACAGAAAAGCTAAAAGTAGCAAAAAGCAAGTTCAAAATAAAAGTTTCAAAAAGGGTAGCAAAAAGCTAAAAGTAGCATAAGAAGTGAAATAGAGCAGGTGTGCTGAAGTAATGTTCAAACAGTACAAATGTTTTAAGAAAATTAAAAATCTTAATTTATTTCATGGAGACAATAATAGTAAATAAAATAAAATATTGTATGACTAGCAAAAAGCACATAAAATATTTTTATTCTAAAGTTAAAGCACCCATGTCCTGAATGAGCTGAACGTTTTGATATGAGAATAGCTAAAATAGCTAAAAGTTAGCAGTAGATTGCAACAAAACATGCAGGAAAAAAATCAGGAAAACAGTAAATGCTAATTCTTCGTCCACACAGTAAATGGTAAAATATGACACTTGTTTCTCAAACTACCGGAGTTGTGGATGATTGTGATTCATTTGTCCTCCTTGTTCCATCCGCAGGCAGCAAGACAAAAGAAGGAGTTGTGTCATCAGTAAACACAGGTAATGTCCCGTCTGTCAAACAGTTTATTAATGAATAAAATAAATCTGGAGGCTTTTCTCCAGTCGTTTGCTTGTATCCTTGGCGTGTGTTTGCCGTCTGTTTTACATATAGAAGCATGCTCAAAGGCTCAAAATAAAAGTTTCTGTTCTGTCCTGATGGACAAACTATCCACACTAGGACTAAGCCCCTCCATCTGCAACTGGGTACTAGACTTTTTAACAAACAGACCACAGTTAGTGAGGATCCACAACCTCTCCTCCTCCACCATAACCCTCAGCACTGGCTCTCCTCAGGGATGTGTGTTGAGCCCCCTTCTGTTTACTCTGCTCACATATGATTGTGCAGCTACCCATCCAGGCTGTCACATTGTAAAGTTTGCAGATGATACAGCGGTGGTGGGATGCATCACAAACAATGATGAGTCCAGCTACAGGCAGGAGGTGGAACACCTGGAGAGCTGGTGCA